CAGCACTTTGCAGCAATAGGATACTGAGCTCGACATAATATGTATGCTAAATATTTTTATTCTTGCCGTTTCTACTCACTATTTCTTATAACCTATCAATGAGTACGAGTGATTAATTTATCCTTTCTTGTATGTTTTGCTGTACTCTGTTGTGGAGATCAGATTTTCAACTTGTTCAACAGAGAAATGGGTGGCGAAGATGTCAAGGTTATGATTTTATTTATTTATTTTAATGATTGAATTTAATATTGAACATTATGAAGTTAGTGGAGTTCACTGAATTCTCACATATCTCAGCCATCGAAATGCAGGTTTCAATTGAACTTTCATTTATGGAAGCTGTCCAGGGCTGCACCAAAACACTGTCATTCATGACTGATTTGGCCTGCGATACTTGTGGTACTGCTATACGCGTTTCCTCAAAATAACCCCAAACAAAATTAATGAAATCCCTTTTGCTAATTATTATCGTTTTTTGATCTTTTTAAGTTCGTTCATTTAGTATTCTTCATTGATGTTTTTTTCTTCAGGTGGAACTGGCGTTCCTCCGGGTACAAGGCCTGAAACTTGTAAACGTTGTAGAGGCGCTGGCACGGTGATTGCATTTAAATCACAGCAGTACTTTTTTCGTATTGAGGAAGATTAATAATTTTTTTTTTTTTTTTTACATCGCCAGGTTATATCCCAAAATGGACCTATTACATTTCAAGCTACTTGTCCACATTGCGGGGGATCTGGAAAAATTGTAATGGTATGTCTATCAATAGACATGTCTTTCAGAACAGTTTTTATGAACAATTGATGATGAAAATATATTTATGAACACAAACTTTTTTCGTGTTAATGACAGAGCTTCTGCAAGTCTTGCAAGGGTAAGCGGGTAGTGAAAGGGTCGAAAACAGTGAAGATGAATGTCGTGGCAGGTAATTTCATAGAAAATCATCTTTGGTTGCATATCTATATTTTTTTAATCTATTAACCTTGCTTAGATATTTCGTATCAAAGCTCGCTTTAATAGCTCTGGAAAAGTCGGAGAAATTTGTGTTACAAATTTTAATATCTTGATTTTCTTGTTAAAGCAGTCGAATTGTTGTTTAGAGCATAAATATGGTTAGTTTAGTATTTCCATGGATGATGTTGGGAGAATCCCTCAACAGAACCATTTATATTTTTTAAACTAGCACTTATCCATAAATTTTATCAAGCCTTGGAGGTCTTCTGCTGCTTCCAAGTTTCTGCATGGTTCCAGGGAATACGAGAATTTACTGATATATGAAAAAAATGATTCCTAAAATATTATCGTTCCTGCATGGCTTACATGGCCTTTTCTACTATTACTTAATTCGCTTTTGTAATGTTCATCGATTAGTACTATCCTTATTCTGCATTCGCACTGTTGATATGCAGGGGTGGACAACAACGAAACTATCAAAATTCCTAGAAGTGGTGGAGCAGATCCTGATGGAAATCACCATGGTGATCTCTTGGTTATGATCAAGGTTGCTCGATTAGCTCCATTACTACCCCTAAAGTTCCTCATCTTCGTTTCGAGTACAGTTTGAATGTGGTATATAACTTTGGTTGTATTTTACAGGTCAGAGAAGACCCAGTGTTCCGCAGGGAGAAGGCCGATATTCATGTTAATGCAGTGTTGAGCATAACTCAGGTAATACTTACGAAGTAATACTGTCTGTCAATGGTAAAAGAAAACAAGAAGCCTTTGCGATTTGGGGTAACGTTTGATCCTTACATAGTTACATGTACTTGTGTGATTATTGCACAATATACTACTTCGGTAAAATGCAGTTCTTTTACTTCGAGAACGATAGAGATTGACCTTTGTGTGGATGTCTCTTAATGTGTATGAATCAGCGATTATATTCTTTTGCAGGCACTTTTGGGAGGAACAATCCAGGTGCCAACTCTTTCTGGAGATGTTGTCGTTAAGGTATGTCTGAACTTTATTTGTTATTTATTTATTTATTCTCGAATAATAAATTTGATAACACAAACATGAACATGGTGGTAGCACCTCACCCCTACTTACGGTTATCTGGTTTTGTTTGACGGGAAATATTCTTTTTTCTAATTTCTTTTATGATCCGTAGGTACGCCCTGGCACTCAACCTGGCCAGAAAGTTGTCTTGAGGAAAAAAGGTAACACTTTTATCTGGACATATAGCTATGTTATTTGATTCCTTAATTAGCTAGTCAAGGTTTATCGAGTTTTGTGCATTACATGCTCATGTCATATGCATTACTGCTTTAGTATATGTACTACCTTCCTTATTATTTTTGTTGTAGTAGCATCTAGCTGTGCAATTATAATACCTGATGTTTTTTTTTTTTTTGTGCAGGGATCAAAGTCAGAAACTCGTTTTCATTTGGAGATGAATATGTTCACTTCAACGTCAGCATTCCAACGTAAGTACATGACTTGGACTTGGTTCACTTCTTTCAAACTCCAATATGACCTTTCTAAATATCGATGTGTCCATTGTATCAGAAATTTGACGCAAAGGCAGCGCGAATTGATTGAGGAGTTCGGTAAAGAAGAGCAAGGGGAAGATTATAAAGGGGAAGTTGCAAGTGCATCAGGTTGAACGCAATAGTATTGAAGAAAACAAAATTTACCAATTTGCCCTTGCATGAATTTTTTTTGACAAGCAATTTCGACTTAAAAAGGTGGACAAATGAGCGCTATTATATTCTTTTTGACCTTTACCGGTACGATATGTAGCATTTATTGGTACTGAACTGTATTTGTTATAGTGTTATTTGAAAAATAGGTTGTCTATCTTTGTGAACTCACTATGTTGTACATAAACATATTATTTTATAGTGTTTATTTTCGATGGTTTATTACACCTATATAAATGAAAATACGGATCGTCTCTCTTGTGTTGTTATTTTCTCTATAATTATATTCAATCATTTACATTCCCCTGTATTCCCACACAATTTTACGACATAATATAACAAAAATACACGTATTTCTAATCAACATAATAAGTAAACCGAAGACAATGTCTACATAAAGCAAAATTATTTTGAGCAAACTTGTTGAAACACCCTATCAACAGATAAAAGGTATTTTTCATAAGTACAGCATGTATCTAAACTCAAATCATGGAGGTGTTACATCATTCAACTCCCAAAAAAGAACTAACCTAACAAAAATTAGACAAAAAAAATGAGCATTACGAGTTTTAGAAAGAAAATAGACTTTTTTTCGGGTTTGAAATTTCAAGAAGTTGGTTTGGATTTTGTTTTCGTCTTCTTTGCAGCCAAACCCGATCCTAATCCAACCGGAGCCTGTTCTTCAGGACCTTTCACTCCATTCGAAATGTCACCGGAATATTCTCTTTTCCCCTCATCAACAGCCTCGTTTACAGCAGCAGGTGTTGACCCTGAGTTGACTATATTAAGGAGCTGAGTCAGCGGCTGTAAGGCCTGTGTGGGACCCACTTGTGGGCGTGTCAAAAGACCCTTAGCTGCTGCTTTCTTCCTTATTTCAGCGGCAGCTTTAGCGGCTCTTTCATCAAAACCCCTTCCTCGTGGAAGAGTTTCACCACCACCGTTTGATGATTGGTTGGCGGAGCCGCCAGAACCTCCGGCTTTAGCGGCGGCAGCTTGAAATGCTTGTATCAGGTCTGGATGAGCCTGAAGTACACATATCCACCATTTAGATATAATCACAAGCGTTTATTCGAACAGTTAATTCAATCACGAAAAAAAAAAATCTCGGTAATTTTTTGTACCAATATTCACTTATAGCAATCAACGCAATAAAGTTTTGTCTAAGAGATAAGACCAAGGCCTCATTTAGGAATAATGATATTGATTAATTGAATTGGATAGGATTACAAAAATGTGACTAGCTTATGTTTAAGGTCTATGATTATACAATTCTTGTATTGAATAATATCCTTTCATAGCATTGTGTAATAACAGGGGTTAATGTTGGACTCGATATGCTTGATTAAATCTCGGGCCCATTTTTAATCACTGGATTCAAACCTAAACCCCAAACATTGGATACATCTTGATTATATATTGTCTAAAGGTCTAAACACTG